TAGCTCCCTGAGGGACCCCACAAGTGAGTTCCCTCTTACTGGAACTACCTTTTCTGAACAGATTTTGCCAAGAAAACTTCATGATAGGTTCACCTTAGAGCCACCATAACTTGGAAGCAAATTGAAGGCAAACCACCACCACCACATTTACTTTAAATATTTATTCTTTAAATACTTGGCCGTTAGTTTAGTTTAGGTTATCTAAAAATGTGACCAATCCAAAGTCTTCTCTCAGGAAAGAGGACACCAGATTTCAGGCCAAGGAACTGTTATCCTGGTGTTACCACTACAAATGGTCAAGAAAGCTGGTAGTCTTGAAAGGAAAGACAGGCTGAAACAGTATCCATTTTTTACAAATACCTAATTTTTATTTTCCATTTTAAAATTTTATAGTTGGTTTTCTCCTCTTGTTTTGATTGATTTCTTGCCAAAAGTAAGCAGAATTGTGTTTTGTGATTATGTACTTGCAGTGGAAAGATAACAAGCCCTTCCATTCTATTTAGGGACTTTGGCATAATATTCAAAGGGAACTCAAATTCATTAAATGGATACAGAACAAGAGTCACCCAGTGCTTGATATAAAAAAGTAATGCATCTGAGGATTTGGGAGATAGCCATCTAGTCACTTTTTATTATTCTTTTATCCATCCCTGTCAGCCAACACAAACAGAGAAGAATTCATAGTATGTACCCAAAAGGAGCTTAGTTCTGCATCAGACTGATAATAATGTACTAGAGAGAAAAGGAGGGAGGGGGATGAATCTAGGTTGCATGAATATTATTTGATGTTAAATATGATAGCGTAACAAGACTGTTGACATGATGAGATCCATTAGGAGATTTGCATTTCAGCAATGAGCAGCTATAAGGAGATGCTCTGAAATTTGCTGATGTTTTTGTTTGCATGGTACACTGCAAGGCAAGTCAGCCACGAATATAGCTTTCAGTTGCCTGCCTGATCTCCTGTGAGAAAGCCAGTTTGAAGAGAGGATGCAACAACATTTTGACACAGATTATATTAATTTGGGATGTCTGAGGTGGTTATTCTTAAATTATTCTTAAACTATTTAATTCTCAAAAACATAAATATATTTGTTGCTATGAGAGAAAAAAGAGCCTCCAAGGGATGAGGACAGTAGCATATATATTGAAAAATAGAATAAATTAATTGACTTTGCAGAACAAATATTATATGCTCCTTTCACCACAATTCAGTATTAGCAATTCTGGAGTGGTTTAATTTCAGAAGAGTAATCAATATTTCCAATAGACTGTGTGCAAAGCAAGGTTCACAAGGACCTACATGAAATGAAGAAACAAGATACTTAATTGCCAGGCCATTTGGACACTATGGTTGTGTTATGTTTGCTTTAAGTTACACCATATGTTGATATGCCTGATATATAATAAATATTAGTAATTAAAAAAGAAAAAAACACTCTCTTGTCAAAACACTAGCAGCTTATGACATGCAGCTTTTAAACCACAATTAAAGTAGGAAAATAGTGCCTTTGGTGATACTTACAGTGTCACCTCTGACTTATTCCTGTTGTGTCACTGAAGCATGGCTAGGACACAGCTTTTCATTGATGAGGAAAACCCATCAATAAGCTCCCAGTCACACTGTTGTTGTAGTAGTAGTTGTTGTGTGCCCTCAAGTCATTTCTGACTTAAGTCGACCATAAGGTGAACCTTTCATGGGGTTTTCTTAGCAAGATATGTTCAGAGGAGGTTTGTTATTGCCTGTCCCTGTGACTGAGAGCTTGTGACTTGCCCAAGATCACCCAGTGGGTGTCATGGCTGAGCTGGGAATTGAATCCTAATCTCCAGATTCATAGTCCAACTCTCAAACTACTATGCCACAGTGGCTCCAACTGCACTACTGCACCATTAGTTCTCAGGCACAATATGTTCTTTTATGGCAGTCCTGAGATTGGGCAGTCACATGGAATCAGTCTCTCCCAAACACACTATTTCTAATCAGGCTGGTTTTCTTCTCCCCCCCCCCCTTCCCCCCCTTTTATCTTTGTTTCATAAATCACACGGCCACAATTGGTAATTTGCATTACACATAAAATATTTTTTTAAAAATGCAAAAGGCATTCTGGTAGGCCATAGGGCAGGAAGATGTGGTTAAGGGGGAGTGAGGAAGAGAATGCAAGGGACCGTTGATGGCCAGAGCAGCCCCATTCACACTAATGAAGAGGCATGCGATAAGGAAAGCTCCCAAACCGGTATGTATCAGTTTCCTTTTACAAATGTCATTGCAGAGAGAATGAAGCTCATGTGATAAGGTGCTTAGTCTTCATATTGACCATAAATAATTTGAGATTCTTTTGAAGTGAACAAGAGACCCGAAACAAACATTTTGATGCTTCTTACATGCCACTCATGTGTTGGGTTTAGACAGGACTAGGTCACACGTGGTCCATGGCCATCATACAACCTCCAGCCCATTTTTGTGAACACACATATAGATACGCCTATTTTCTACTGCTGACAGTTGGTGGCAACCATATTCTTCCCTGCCCATCTGGAAGGAAAACAGCTGCTTCATCCTGCAGACTGGCAGGAAAAGGTCAGAAACTAACGAAGAGCTACTCTAGTTGTCCCAGATGGTGATGTTGGCCATGCAGCCCACACTGCATTCCAGGGGATCCAAATTGGGGGATCCTCATGATTTTAGAGAAATACAAAATTGAGGAAATAGTATATTTCATTACATCACTCTGTATGGGGGAAAGCAAACGATCGAATATTTCTCAGTCATTCTGCACAATGAACAGTGCCAAAATTGTTGAATTTCAGTCTCTTGTCTGCTGTCTCCAGAAGACAGAATCATAGAATCATAGAATCAAAGAATTTGAAGAGACCACAAGGGCCATCCAGTTCAACCCCCTACCATGCAGGAACTCAAAATCAAACCAGTACCAACAGATGGCTATCCAGCCTCTGTTTAAAGACCTACAAAGAAGGGGACTCCACCAACCTCCGAGGGCGTATGTTCCACTGTCGAACAGCTCTCACTGTCAGGAAATTCCTCCTAA